CCCTAAGATGTTACTGATACAACAGTAACATACCCTATGCAATATTTTTGAACTTATTCACGTGGAAAAAAAAAATTACCATAGTGATAAAGTGCCTAGATTTTCGGTACGAGCAATACGATTGAGTTGCAAAGATAAGATATATTAAGGTCCTAGATAAGAGCATTAATTAACATGGTTCGATTTTGCTGCGATTCTGATCAACTTAGAATTGCTCTTATCTGCTTGTAAAAACTCACTTAAAGGCAATAATTAATTCCTTAGTATACTCTAATTACAACACCCCGCACCTTACTCTCTCTATATAAACCCTAAGCAGTAATTCCATATTCATTCACTCTAATTCTCTCTATCTTACTCAGTCCTTTCCTTCATAAATTCCACACACAGTGAAGCCATAAATCCATCCATGGCGAGCCTTCAAACCAACGAGTTTGACACTCTTTGTTCTCAATCTAGCAAGAAAAGAAACCATGAACCAACGGAAATTGAAGAAGAAGGAGCACTTGCCCTCTTGATGCTATCTCAGGACAATAGGAATTGGCACACTGGTTCAGCCACCAGTGCCGCCGCCGAACTCATAGAAGATGTACTAAATCCCGCCTCCACCGTTGTCACTACCACTTGTGAAAGAACAGGCGCTTTAGCCTCAGTCGGCGATGACAAGAAATCAATGGAACCCTTTTCTCCTACTATTATTGCTTCTCCGCAGGACCAGAATGTGTCGTACATTTGTAGCGTGTGCAACAAGTCCTTTTCGACATACCAAGCACTCGGCGGCCACAAAACCAGCCACCGTGATCTGTCTCAATTTGCCACCACGACTGCAATCACCAACACCTCTAATATCTCTTATCTCAACCCAGGCAATAGGATTCACAAATGCAATGTCTGTAACAAGACTTTTACCACTGGCCAAGCTTTGGGTGGCCACAGGCGAAAGCACTATGAAGACGTTATAAAGGGCGGCAAGAAACCCAGTGTGATCACATCCAAAGGCGGCGCCTCCAGCCAATGCAACAGCAATGGGCGAACCACCAACGACTTCAACTTGAACCTGCCCGCGTTTCCGGAGACTTACTCAGATTTTACGCTTTACTCTGGCCAGAGAATCCAGGTTCTTGGCGATCAACAGAAAGTAGAAAGTCATATTCCTTCCAAGAAACAGCGTTTGGATAAATGAACTATATTATAGAAAATTGATCCAGAAATTTTATGAATTTTCTGTAGAAAAGTATTATTGGGGATCAATTGTTTTTATTTGTTTAATGAAAAGAAACTTATATATACACATTTGATAATTAGACTTTTGTTTATGCTTTTCTTGTGATCGCTCTTGAATTTTTGTTCATGTGTTTGGATGCAGTATTGAATGGAATTAAGAATTATGCCACTTGTATATCAATTGTGTACATTCATGTTGACACTTGACGTGTTGTTAAGAAATAAGTAGATGAAAATTTATTTATTTTTTTAACTGTCAAATGAGATAATAACTCTTAGCATGATGTGCATCAAACATGATTGATTGAATTAAATACTATAATAAATATAATATAATTTATTTATTTTCATCTTCAATTTTGTTAAAGAATATTCAATTCTCTTCCAACCCAAGGTAATTATATGATAAAATCTAATAGTTGAGATTTAATTGGTGTGTAAGTTTGCAAAGTTTAAATTATTAATGTTATTGTGATGCTTATTTGAGAAATCTCCACCATGTCAAAATTATGGTGATGTCAATTCAGTTGGAATTAAATAATTAGCCCCCGTTTGGTGAGATTAAAATCAGATTTTTAGCTGATTTTTATATATAAAAAAAATTTGCGGTTGAAAAGTTGGTGATCTCAACAAATATATGATTAAAATTAATTGTTGACTTTGACTAATTATATAATTTTGATATATTTCTCTTGATCCATTTTTGTTGATTTCGCATCAACTAATCCTAATCTTTACTAAGTTTTTTATTTACAACCTTCGAGATCTTCAGCCTCCTCTACATATTACAAACAAGAATTTAGTCATTGGTAGAAAAGGCTGCAAACCCTTGATTTTACTACTAAGAGCATGTTTGGTACAGATTCTCATCTTATACAGTAAATCAATTCTCATTTTCAACCACACATTCTTCAATAAAATAATATTTTCCATCACATCAATACTTTTTTCTTCTTTTTCACCCACACATTTCCCATTATATCACTATTCAAAAATCAATTCTTCCCCCAAAAATCCCTACCAAACACACTCTAAATTCTGCATGCACGTCCCCATGCATATAATACATCTATTTTCATGTTACTGACATCTTATTATTCGATGGCGTTCTCTTACTAGGGTTGAGTTAATTTACGAATATTTGTTTGCCGTTAATATTATTTTGCAAAGGACGTAAAGAGTTCTAGCTTGCACAACCACACACAAAAGAAATTATGTGAAAATAAGTACAACACCAAGAATATTATAGAGAAAATAAAGAAGATGTTGAAAATCCCTCATCCAATCTTGTTACCTGAACTCCAATCTTCGCCTGAAATAATCTTTCTTCGATCTTCAATTGCAAAATCTAAGCTTTGAACTCCTTCAGAACTTTAATTTGATGTGTTTGAGATGTGTTTTTCTCTCCAAGATTGCGCATCTCTTTATGACTTCTTGTATTCATATGCCCAAAAATCCTTTATTATATGCGTACAAGTGGTCAACTTTTACCATAGACCTCATACATATAAGGTGAAACCTTCCATAAACTATGAATTTGGAAGCAGATATGGCCTATGTTAGGACAATTGTTTCTACTGCAGCACATTAGATAATTGGCTCCAAATTCTCCTCTTCTTCTTCCCATATCTCATGCATGGCTTCTCTAATATTATGAATGCTATTTAGAGCATAATCTGCTCCGGGCACCAGAGTTTCTCTCCCCACCTGCTGCCCTGCATTTCATACTTTATTGCATTAAAATAGGTCAGAGAAAAATTGGTTAATTTGACGTTAGGAAATTCATTAACTCACAATGACTGTGTGAAGTCCACCAACTTTTCCACTGGAAATATTGCATTCAGTGGCTGGCGCAGATATTTTGAATTAGGGGGCACAATTAAGCTTGCAAAAAAGTTGTGAAAAAATTAAAACATTCGATGTAATAAAATGTTGATTGTCCACTCAACTAGGCTCGTTTGATCTCAACTTCAATTCGTGTTGCACTAGATTGTCCACTCAACTATGCGCGTAACTACCTCGCTTATCTGCTCCCAAAATGTGTTCAAAAGGTTGTGGAATGGATGGAACTGCGAAAGAGAATGGGGATTTATTAACTCGATTCTTTGCCACCTTTCTTGCTTGTTTTCGCCAGAAAGATAGTTTCAGTGACAAGGGAATTTTTGCAGAAGAGAATGAGGCAAGCCTTTTTACATTGTTTGAGCATTTTTTTTTTTTTAATAAAAATGCATTTTGAAATAGTATTTTGATGGAAAATGTGTAGTTCAAAAATAAGGAAAAATATTGAATTTGCATATAATATTATTTTATTGAATAATGTGTAATTGAAAATAAGAAAGAAAAAAATACATTTTGAAAATATTGGAGATCAAACAATTTCTTAAAGGCTAAATCCTTAAACTAAGCATTCAAATACCTAAGAGAAAACTATTGATTCCTTCATTCAAATACTAAACCAAAGACCAAATATGCACATAATTTGAAATAAATTAAGTTCATCGCATAAATGAATGCTATCATGATATTATCAAATTTAGATTAAAAATAATTATTGATTTTGACTTAAATTATTATCAATTTATCGATACTAAACAGATCCTTATTTTGCTTATAAGAAATAGATAAATAAAGATAATGGTTTGTGTTTTAGTTCACAAGTTACTTCTAATTTCTTTTTCCCTTTTTTCCTATTTTAATAAATTATCCTCCAAGAATTTAAGCTGCCAACTTATTTTTTATCCCTTCACTCTTCAATTCCCTTCAACACTGTGCTCGCCCACAATCGAAACATAGAGTGAGAAAGAGATGATGAGTTCCTGCACTCCAATTTCCTCCAAAACTCACACCATTTGAAACCCAATCAAATCCTCTTCTACTGCCTGATACTGTCTTACCAGTGGAGTTTTTTGTACCAGAAAAAGAAATTGCTTAAATAAACCAAGGGCTTCTGCTAAGATAGAATGGGTGTTGCAAAGGGTTAAATCAGATTTTTTATTTATATTAGAAAAAATGTTCTAGGCTGGTGGGTCACATGACCTTCTAGGACCCACAGTGAATCCGCCACTGGTTGCATACGCTGTCATCAAAGAAAAGCTGAAAGAGAAAAAGAAAGAACGAGCTTCTATTTACTACAACATGTTTCATATACAATAACAGACGTGACTAAGACATGGTTGGACATTATATTGATAAGATTTTTAGCATGTTGGCTAACATATTTTAACTTCTTTGTTAGAAATCTTTCAAAAAAATATTACTTTTAGTTTTTACGTGCTTAGCCAAGCATGCTCATTTTTCACTTGATACTACGTAATACTATTCGGCCCTCCATTCTAAACATGCCCTTTTTTGGGGATCGTCATTTTGTAGTAACATACCCTATACAATATTTTTGAACTTTTACATAAGTAAAATATTTTGTATTGAAAATTTACCATGTAAAGGGCTAAATTTTTAGTTCGAGCAATATGATCGTGTTGCAAAGAAAAGACATGTTAAGGTCCCAAATTAGAGCATTACTTGACACGTGTCCAATGAACTCAAGAAAGCAGCTTATAAATAAGAACATGATTCGATTTTGCTAGGATTCTGATCAACTTAGGATTTCTCTTATTATATAACCTGTTAGAACTCACTCAACGGCATTAATTAATTCCTAAGTCTACTGTAATTACAGCATCCCACACCTTACTCACTATATAAACCCTCAACGCTAATTCCAGATTCCTTCACTCTAATTCTCTCTATCTTCCTCAGTCCTCTCCTTCATAAATTCCATGCATACACAGAACATACTCAGTGAGGCCCCTAATTTATCCATGGCGGGCCTTCAAACCAACGAGTTTGACACTTTTTGTTCTCAATCTAGCAAGAAAAGAAATCACGAGCCAACTGAAATTGAAGAAGAAGCAGCACTTGCCCTCTTGATGCTATCTCAGGACAATCGGAGTTGGCACACTGGTCCAACCACCATTGCCGCCACCGCCGCTGAACTCATAGAAGATGTACTAAACCCCGCCTCCGCCGCAGTCACTACCACTAGAGAAAGAACAGGCGCTTTAGCCTCAGCCGGCGCTGACAAGAAATCAATAGAACCCTTTTCTCCTACTATTATCGCTTCTCCGCTGGACCAGAATAGGTCGTACATTTGTAGCGTGTGCGGCAACTCCTTTTCGTCATACCAAGCACTCGGCGGCCATAAAACCAGACACCGTGATCGGTCTCAATTCGCCCCCACTACTGCAATCACCAACACCACTAATATCTCTTATCTCAACCCAAGCTGTAGGATTCACAAATGCAACGTCTGTAACAAGACTTTTACCACTAACCAAGCTTTGGGTGGCCACATGCGGAAGCACTATGAAGAGCGTGATAAAGGGCGGCAAGAAAACCAGTGTGATCATATCCAAAGGTGGTTATTCCCGCCGATGCAGCAGCAATAGGCGCACCACGGACTTCAACTTGAACCTGGCCGCGTTACCCGAGACTTACTCAGATTTTATGCTTTATTCTAGAGAGAGAATCCAGGTTCTTGGTGATCAACATAAAGTAGAAAGCCCTATTCCTTTCAAGAAACAGCGTTTGGATGAACGAATTGTATTATAGAAAATTGATCCAGAAAATTTATGTATTTTCTGTAGAAAAATATTCTTGAGGTTCAATTGTTTTTATTCGTTTAATCAAAAGAAATTTAGATATATACATATTTGATAATTAACTTTTGTTTATTTGTTCTCGTGTTCTTGAATTTAAGTCCACGTGTTTGGATGCAATACTTAATAGAACTAAATACTATAATGAACATAATTTTATTTATTTATTTTTCATCTTCAATTTTGTCAAAGAACATTCAATTTTCTCTTCCAAGCCAAGGTAATGATATGACAAAATTTAATAGTTGAGATTTAATTGGTGTATAAGTTTGCAAAGTTTAAATTATTAATGTTATTGTCCATGATGCTTATTTGAGAAATCTCCACCATATCAAAAATATGGTTTTGTCATTGGAGTTGGAATTAAATAATTAAGCATGAGGACTGAGTTAATGTGTGTTTTATTTTTATTTTGCATAAATGATCGAGCAAGTTCAAATCGACCTAATAGAAATTTGAATCGTGCTACAAGTACATCAATTTTGACATTGTAACACGTGTCGAAGAATGATTGAACAGTTTTTAAACACCATACACTTTCCCACCCATTTCCATTTAAATTCACATGAAGTGTCAAACTCCATGTGAACCATGGAATGTATACAAAGCAAAATTCTAGAAATTTAGAGTGTATTTGATTCGTAAAATGTGATATTTTCTAAAATGTATGTTAAAAAGTCCATAAAATTTTTTATTTTTTTTTTTTTTTTTGTTAAAAATGATATTTTTTGAAAAAATATGTTGTCTTAAAAATAGGAACACGTACACCTCCTTCCAATCTCGGGGCCACCAATTTTTCGATTTGACTCCCTGGAATCTTATTTCAAGCATTACATGAACTTTGAAATGTTTTCTACCTCCTTGGTGTGTAGATACACGTTATTGCATGGCAGTTCGGCCGGGAACGCGTCACTTGTGTTTTGAGAATTGGTTTCCAATGATATAATATGTGCATTGCGAATTGGTTTCCAATGACATATTATGTACATTGCATGGATGGATTCAAGAACGGATTAAAAAAAGAAAAAATAATATTTAAGTCGGGCTACTATGTAAAAATACACGGAAAAAATTAAATTGCTTGGAGATTGGATAGGGTTGTACAGTCCAATCCCCATACATTCGCCCCTAGTGCATTGTGAATACCTTTTTAATCCATCTTCCCACTCTAGTTTCTCCATGTGTTACTTCATCGATTACTAGTTGTCATACCTATCATTATGTTTCACCTCGAGGCCTCGTATTTGGTAATTTTAGCCCTGAATGCCTCTAAGTTGATCGTGAAGGTGATATGGTCATGATTAACTTATGGGCATCTGATTAATGTAGATACTGATCTAGATACAAAACAGAGTGAAGTAATGAATGTTAGAATAGGCAATAATATATGTAAGAACACTTTCAACAATAAAAATAAATAGTATTTATATAATAATGTGCTTATCCATTATTATGCCCTAGTTTGGTATATATTGAAATCAAATTTTTAGTAGATTTTAATAAAAGTTGAAGAAATGTGTGATTTAAAAGTTATGAGTCCCATAAAATATGTGGATAAAATTAATTGTTAACTTTGACTTTGAAATCGTAATTGGATTTTAATCCAAACCAAATATAGGCTATATAAGACGTATTATGTTGCAATATATACATGTATATGGTGCCTTTATCAAATTACGGGAGTATTTGATATGCGACAAGAATAAGTATTTTCTTATACGTGTGCATAGGTTCATATACATGAGTCACCGATATGCATGCGGTGTTAGAAGGTACCTTGGTGGCACAGGGATTGTGAATCGGTGCAACGAGTACTGTATATCTAAACTAAGCCTAACTTGTGATTCAAGTATCATTGGAGTTTTATGAGTTGTTGTAGCAACTACGCCGTCACACTGTGAAATTCTAAGTAATAGCAAATGTGATAAACCCTGACAACAATGTGCTTCATATGGTGTGCTTTAGTGGAATTTGGACCAAAAAGATAAAAAGCGGATAAGTTGAGATATAAAAGGAAGGATAAAAAGGAGGGAATAGAGAGGTGGGAGGGATAAGAGTTAATTATGATGTAAAAACATGATTGTCAATTAAGGACAATACCATTGAGTATTTGATTAAGTAGCGTAAATATTGTGAAGATTAAAAAGTAGGGTATATTTCAAAAAAAAAAAAGGNAAAAAAAAAATCAAAAAAGGGGTAATGGGGCTAATTTTCCCTCTCATAAAACTGTCTAGCTAGATAGGAACAAAATAAACTAGGGAAAATTTTGTATGGGAGATATTGAGTATGATCCATTTCGAAATTAAGGAACAAGGTTAAAAATTTCAAAAATCAGATACTAATTAAATTTTATTTATGAAATAATTAATTAAATATATATTTTATTAATTAAATATATTAAGATTACAATTCTATCACAACTAATGAATTAATTAGTCATGAATTATTTTTTAGACACAGATCAAATTATTTCTTGTCATAAATCAACAATTTTATAGGCCACAATTTATTCAACGATTAAAACATCATAAATTTTACAAGTCATTAGCTTATTTAATGATGACAAATTATCAAATGAATTGGTCACAGATAATTTATCAATCACAACTTAATAAATTGTAGGCGCATATTATTTCTTCATCACAAATTAACCAAATTATTGTCACAGTCAATCAAATAATTGGTCACAATTTATTCAATGGTCACATATTAATAGATTTAATGGTCACAATCAACCAAATATTGGTCACAAACACCCCACCCCACCCTACCCTACCCTACCCTACCTTAGCAACACCACCACCGTACTCATATCGCCATCACCACCATCTCAATAGCACCACCACTACCACATGTAAACACCATCCACAAAACCCATCCCAAATCACAGCACAACCATCGCAGCTATAACGACATCAACGATTACAACCACCATAAAACATAATAGAATAGAACTGAAAGAATAAAGAACGGTTGCTTCAAGCGGCTCTATGCGCTAGGCATCGCGCGATGAGCACAGCGCCATGTGTAGTTGTTGTAGCAACGTCGCACACATCGACACTGTCGTCATCCACTGAATGCGACGTTGCTGTTGTAGCTTTCGACAATGCTACTACTGTGTGTCATCATCTACTATGCGAGGATGGTGGGTCTCTCGACGGCGGTAGGAGAGAGACAGTGTAGAAGATAGATAAAGAGAAAAGAAATGAAAAATGATTTATAGTTTGGGTTTGGGTTTAGGTTAGATGGGGAGTGGGGTGGGATGAGGTGGAGTGGAGTGGAGTGGTTATGTAGATTAAATTACTTTTATACTATTATTATTATTAATATTTAAAAATTATATTATTATCTGATTTTTGTATAAACAAATTTTAAATCTGATTTTTGTAATAATTTTTAAAAGTAGGCTTCCATGTAATTTTCATAATAAACTATCCCATTTGTTAACTGGATTAAAACTGGATCCAACTCAAAATGATATTTGTGCTAGGGAAGAGTTTACAAATCAAGTATTAACTTTGACAATTGCAAAAATCAGGTGTTAAGTTTCAAACTTGTAAAAATCAGGTATTTATTAATTAATTAAATATTTAATTGTAATATAATATAATTAACTCACCCCACCTCTACCTCTACCTCCACCTCCACCTCCACCACCCCTACTGCTCCGACGACTACTCCGACAACCGTGCTTAATTCCGACGACTATTCCTGTAACCATTCTGTCGCCGCTTAATTCCGCTCACTGCTCATATTCCGGTAATTGTTAAGGTCACAATTATATGCAATTTGGTCGCAGATATCTAATTAATTAGTTAAAAATTATTTTTTGGTCACATCTTATCAAATTATTGGTCACAAATATTTTCTTGATCATAAATCGAAAAAATTATAAGTCACAGACTGTTTTTCAATCACGAAGCAAAATTTTATAGGTCACATATTGTTTATCGGTCACAAATCGAAAAATTTTTAGATCACAACTTATCAAATTATTGGTCACAACTTCTTTTCTGGTCACAAATCAAGAATTTTATAGTCACGTGTTATTTCTCACCACGAATTAAAATTTTTTATAGGTCACAGATTGAAAAAATCAAAACTTTTATTGGTCATAACTCGATTACAGTGAGCCACAGTCACAATTTTTAGATCACATATTATTTATTTGTCAAAAATTAACCAATTATTGGTCACAATCAACTAAATAATTGGTTACAGACACCCTCTCCATCTCATCCTACCCTACCTACGACCACCACCACTAGGGGTGGGCATAAGTTGGATTGGGTCCATTTTTGCATCAACCTAACATGATCGGTTTGATCAAAATTTAACCAACCCAACCCGTGTAAATGTTGAAACCCAACCCAATCAAGTATCGGTCGTGTTGGGTTGGGTTGGTCGATTTGGGACAACTTGTCAACAAAAATTTAAATCATCCAATTTTCTATTATACTAAATTCGAATAGACAAGATTAAATAATAAATAAAATTATCTATTATCTTATTTAACCTTCATTAGTCGAGCCTACAAAGAACAAAGTACATCTAACATAACATGAAAAACTTATACTACAATTTTTGTGGGAAGAACATTAAGCTCCTCCTCTAAAATACACCAAGGTAATTACAGTTACTCTATTTACTCATACTTTTTAGGTTTCTTTTACTTTTCTAGACATTTTATTTTATTTTTTATTTTATTTTTATTTCTTTTTAAGAGGCAGGTTGGGTTGGGCGGGTTTATTCGATTTTCTTGAATTAACTCATAACCCGACCCTCCTACA